AGCCGGCTCCCCAGCCCGGGATACCCGGCTCCCCAGCCCCGGGAAGCCGGCTCCCCAGCCAATCGGCATTGAGCCAGCTTCCCGCCCAATCGGGAGGCGGGTCATTACTCGCCACCCAGCTTCCTGATTGCACGTTAAAACGGCTCCAAGTTCCCCTCCAGCACTGTGGGTCAAGGGAAACCCTCCTCTGGCCAGAGGTTCCGGGATCGGTGAAGGTATCGGAACATTTGGGCTCGCCCAAATAATCGGTATCGGCGCCAATACTAGTATCGGTATCGGCGCATCCCTAAGTAGAGCTATAGATAGACAGAGGGAAGCCCTTTCCCGATATTGCCGTACAGATTCCGGCCTCAGATCCACGTTCACTTTGTCTCCATCCTCAAACCCGGTAGGAACTCGGTTCTGCATCAGCAGAGGGATGCTGATCGTCTGACCCGCCTCAGAGTCATTCTGCTCCGACTTTCGGGATTCTGAAAATTAAAAGGATAAAAAAAAAATCAAATGTAAAAGGTTATGGCAAAAGACCCCAAAACCAGGAGCGGCTCGGAGGCCCCTTCACTACAATGTCAGCTTTAAATACAAAGAGAACCTGTCACCGGGCCGCTCATTTCAACAGCAACCTTCCTACAGGCAGAGGACAGGACATATAAGGAACATCCCATTGTCCATTATATGAGCATTGAACATACTGTATGTTATTACCTGTAAACCCCTCCCCCGGTGTAGACAGCCGAAAGCCCCGAGAGCGCACGCTGGGTGCCGCCATCTTGGATGGGATGTCAGCAGCCTCAGAGCCGTCATTCAAATAGCAGGGGTAGGCGAGATCTGTCCCTCCAGCTGTGGTGCAACTATAATTCCCATGAGGCATTGCAACACTCTGACATCCACAGACAGGACGCCCAGAGGCAGACGCACGATGGGACTTGTAGTTTCACCACAGCTGGAGGGCCCAGATTGCCTACCCCCTTTGCTCTACCATCCTTTTTTTTCTTTTCAACCAGAGTTCCTTTACAGGTCCCTAAGCGTTCCTTGAGCTGTGGCTGGCTGACACCTCCCCCTCTGATGGTGCCCGCATAGAGCCGTCACTCAAGGTTCATCCTTTAGCATTCTCCTCCCTCCGGCAGCTGCATAAAAAGGTTATGGGAGGGGTGGAGGAGCTGGGCCAGCACAGATAATAATCAGAAACTCCCCCCCATCTCTCCAGCATGGGACGCTTCCAGGAAGGAAAGCCGGATGCCCAATAGCAATACACTTTCTGGGTGGGGTGGTGCCTAGGCACTACTGCTCTGTAGCCTCATAGCTGTATCTCTGCAGTGCCAAATCTAAGGCGGGAGATTTGGTGATGTCACTACTGTGCTGCTCACTGTTCTCCTGGCTGGAGCCTCTGACATGCAGGAGCCCTGCCTCTACCAAGATGGCCGCCTCCACGCAAGGCATGGGGAGTCAGTAATGGAGAAAGATCAGCTGCAGGAAGCCTGTAGGCAAAGTAGTCCTTTGCCCTCTGTTGCCTGACTACTATCCCCGGGAGATTTGGTGTTGGTCAATGTTCTCCTTGCTGGAGGCTCTGACATGAAGAAGCAAAGCCATGCCTCTACCAAGATGGCCGCCTCCACACAAAGACAGTGCAGAACAAGACATGGGGAAACATCAGCTTTTAGGCAATACCAGTAACTAGCCCTTTGTTGCCCGACTATTATCCGCAGGAGATTTGGTGATGTCACTGCTGTGCTGCTCAGTTCTCCTTGCTGGAAGCTCTGACATGAGGAAGCAAAGCCCTGCCTCTACCAAGATGGCCGCCCCTACCAAGATGGCCGCCTCCACACAAAGACCGTGCAGAACAAGGCATGGGGAGTCAGAAATGGGGAGATATCAGCCTGTAGGCAATACCAGTGACTAGTCCCTTGCCCTTTGTTGCCTGACTACTATCCCCGGGAGATTTGGTGTTGTCACTGCTGTGCTGCTCACTGACATGAAGAAGCAAAGCCCCGCCTCCACCAAGATGGCCGCCTCCACACAGAGACAGTGCAGAACAAGTCATGTCATGGGGAAAGAGCATCTGCAGGGAGACCCCACAGACCATACTGGCCAGTTTGCCGTATTTTTTTTTGGGGGGGGGGGGGGGGGTTGCCCCTTTGAACAC